CTATACCAATGTCGTAGAATGCCAACATCAAACGAAAAAAGACGAAATTGTACAGAAATGAACTTGAAGACTAGATTATTCGCCAAACCATACTCTGTGCCATTTGCTCAACCCTCATGACCACGTATATTTCATAATGAAAAGAACTATTTTTTTTTTGCAAAACTTTTTTTTTATTTGCACGCGCGCATCAGTTTTGGGGCTCCCGGAGGATGTCATCCATATAATCAAATCAACATGGCCTTATGTGGGAAAAATAGCTCAGTTTGGCTGACCTTTTCATGAACTGCACCAGACTGTTGGCGTCCCTGGCTCCCTGGTACTTCTGTATGTCCTCACCGTTCCTGTTAAACAACACAAAAACAAAAGTTTAACTTAAAAAACAGTTACTGCTTTCATTCAATAAAAATTCAATTTCAGAAGAATTTCTTCCTTCCGAGAACTACATATATTGTAGAGAACTTGTCGTTACCAAAAACAATAGGGCTATATTTACTAGCTAGCACGAGTAAGCAAATGCCATATGCATATGATTATGAAGGACATTACAGTGTTTTTTGTTTCTTGTAAACATAACTCAAAAGCTGGCATCAAAGCCAATGTTTTAGGCTTAAGGTTGTTATACTAGTTGAACAGATACAGAAGCTAGACTGATATACTGAAGGCCTAGGGCAGTTACAAAATACCACTAGCCATACAATCATGTAAATGTATTGAACACTACAGAAATTGGATAAAAATGCTTCTACACCCTACCTAAAGTACTTGATAGTTGGGTAACCCCTGACTCCATATGTTTTCCCCAAAGCTGCGTATTTCGTGGCGTCGACTGCTGCAAGTTTGGCGGCAGGGTCGGATGTCTTCAGCGTTGCTGCTGCCTCCTGGTACGCTGGCTTCATTCTCTTACAGTGGCCACACCCTAAATAATAAATGGTTTTTATTGGCCAAACAGTACCTGTACGTGCAGTTACAGCCTTTATACGGCTGAATGGATGCAGGGTATCACATAATAATCAATACAAATCACAACAATCAAATAATACACATGATAACACATATTTGCTCCACAAATTTTTGTGTGAAAAATGTCATATTTGCTTAGTACATATTGTATGGGCTAGCCTAAAAAGCTACACTTCAGAGAAGCCACCTGACAAGCCTCACTAGGTCAGTCTACCGACCAAGACCAGAGTGACTGGTCGAAAGCTCTAGGTGAGAGAACTGAATTGTGTTGGATCAAAAGTTTTAACTCTAAATATGTAGTAGTAGTCACTGTGGTATTACTGTAGTAGTGGTACATGTATGTAGTAGTAGTAGTAGTAGTAGTAGTAATAGTAGTAGTAGTAGCAGTAGTAGTAGTAGTGATAGTATTAGTAGTATCCAGTTTTTTTATTATAATGTTAATATTAAGTTAAACATAAAGACTCACAAGGTGCGTAGAACATGACCAGTACAGAGCTGTGTTACTTACATGGAGCGTAGAACATGACCAGTACAGAGCTGTGTTACTTACATGGAGCGTAGAACATGACCAGTACAGAGCTGTGTTACTTACATGGAGCGTAGAACATGACCAGTACAGAGCTGTGTTACTTACATGGTGCGTAGAACATGACCAGTACAGAGCTGTGTTACTTACATGGAGCGTAGAACATGACCAGTACAGAGCTGTGTTACTTACATGGAGCGTAGAACATGACCAGTACAGAGCTGTGTTGCTGGACGAAGCTGTTGAAAGTTTCGTCTGTCAGGTGGTTGACCTCACTCTGGACCTCTGACCACTCAGGCTCCGGTGGGGGTGGAGGAGGGGGGGCCTGGGGACTGGAGTAAGGAGAAAATAGTCAAAGTTTATTGCACCACGATTGTAACAATGTACATTTGTAACAAGGTACAATGTATGGCAGTAATAAGATTACTAGCTGGTTTGAGTCTATCAAAATTCTACATATAGGTTCAACGGGTACCATGTATGGCAGAATGTTGAATACGGTAGAACTACTAAACAAATAGTACATCTGTACATGTACGTTCTAAGCTATGCTATACTATATTCATAAAGAGTACAAATTATAGATATATATTAGATAGAAAGAATTTGTTGATCTGTACTCACTCCTTCATGAAAGATACCAGTTCATTTGTGGTCCTTCCTTTCTTGTATGCAAAGGCCTCCTTCCCATCCCTGGAGCAAAAACAAACATTTACTCTTTTAAACACTGCCTACATGTGCTTAATTAATAATTTAACATTTTTATGCTCAAAGACATACAAAATGTTTGAGTCAACTCTTATAATTCTGTTGTCAGGTACCCTTAGACTTTTAAAAAAGTTACCATGACTTTTTCTATCAAGATACTTTTTCAAGAATGTCTTGAAAACCTGCATATCTCTGAGATTACTGATACTAAATTTATGTTGATCTCTTCAAATTCACCATTTTTAAAAAGTAATGGTCTTATTTTTTACAGTTGACATAAACAAAATAATTAAGTTTAAAAACTTAAAAACCATGACTTACTGGAAGTACTTCAGTGTAGGATATCCCCGGACTTCGTAATTTTTGGCCAGGTCTCCGTACTGTGTAGCGTCCACAGCTGCTAGTTTTGCCTCTGGTTTTTCTTTTTTAAGCTGTTGTGCTGCCTCAACGTACGCTGGCTTCATCTTCTTACAGTGGCCACACCCTGGAAAGCAACAAATATTCTTAACCAAAGATCAACAATTCAAGTTGTTATATGTTGACTTGTACTGTTACAACATGAGTGGCTGCAGTATCCATAATCATGCCTATCTAGCTCTATGCCTGAATGGGTTCAAGGGGTAAGAATCAGGGACGGATCTGGATAGTCTCTGAGTGTGTATCCAAAAACGTACATGTATATTTGACAAGATACAGTTCTGGATATCCCTGTGCCTGAGCATGGTGGTGGATAAAGGACGGTTCTGGAAACAACTGGGTCCTTTCCAGTTACATCAAACAAACAAACAAACAAACACAAACATGAAGACATTTCTCACATGGAGCGTAGAACATGACTAGTACAGAGTGGTGCTGCTGCATGAAGGAGTTGAAGTTGTCGGCTGTGAGGTGGTGAACATCGCCGCTCTCCCAGCCGTCACCTTCAGCAGCTGCAGGTTTCTCCTCCTTCGGCTCTTCTGCCTTAGGGGGAGTCTGTGGCCTGGAAGAGAAGTTATATGATGTAGAGGTGATACTTTATTGACTACATCTAGTAAACTAAACTACATGTAAGTCCATGGGTAATGAAATTAAAAATCTATCCATGTCCAGTTTCAAAATGTACGTTGTATCCAGTTGCTTGAGTAACTTCTTATGTAAAACTACATGTAGGGCTGTGAAAAGCTACAACATTGCTAGGAGCTGATCTAAGTTACTAGCACTTGTGCTTGTAGAGACCTACATGTAGTCTGTCTAATCACACTTCTAGTAGCTCTGGGAAAAGTGTCAAAATTACAATGGACCAATCCAAGTAACCACCACACATAACAATAGGAGCAGAAAGTGATCTGAGCTGCTCCTTACGTTTTCATAAAGGCAACGATATCATCCTTGCTCCTGCCCTTGTTGTAGTCAGACGCAACCTGTCCATTCCTGTAGGAAACAGTGAAGGGAGGGAACAACTTTCAGAACATTTAATTAAACTCTTTCAGAAAATAGTGGCTAATATACACAACTGAGTGTGATATACATGTACACATATGCGTATGTTTATAATCTTAGGCTAACAAATAGTACCATATCTTAGTATTTTTGGAAAATTCATTCGAGAATTTAGTACTTGAAATTGAATAGTGCTAACATAAAGTTGATTATGAATCAACCACAATTTTTGGATAGTACAAAGGACCAAGACAAGCTTCCGAAATCAACTTGAAACTGCTTGGTACTGAAATGCTTACTTGAAGTATTTGAGAGTGGGGTATCCCCGGACCCCATATTTCTGTCCTAACTCCTTGTACTTTGTGGCGTCCACAGCTGCCAGTTTGGCTTCTGGTTTTTCCTTTTTCAGTTGCTCTGCTGCCTCCTGGTACGCTGGTTTCATCCTCTTACAGTGGCCACACCCTGGGAAGAAAAAGGTAAAAGATCTGTATCTGTATAGCCGGTATAACCGCCTTTTGGTGTAACACACCAGCTTCACAGGCACGCGGCACGGAGGCAGCTGGCTACATTACACCGATCAACTTGTTACATCTAACCCTTGAACATCTAAATCTAAACACTATTTAAAGCTATCTAATGATGATGCTCCTACTGTACTTGGTGACAGCGAGTTCCACCCTGCGATAGTTCTAGGAAAGAACTATCGCAAGATAGCAAGATATCGCAAGGGCACAGTATTGGAAGGCAGAGCCCATCCCTCTCCTTCCACTGTCTTTTACATGTACCTCCCCAACCAAAGTCAGATACCTATTTTACGCTTGGATGGAGTGAGGAAAGGCGTTTAAAGTGCCTTTCCCAAAGACACAAACTCTTACAAGGAATAAGAGGAATTGAGCCCATGATCTCTTGGTCTCATGTTCACTAGTCTATCCATCCACACCTGACAAAACTTAGCTGTAACTGTAAAAGCTCTAAAAGAAACTAAGGCAGCCTAAAAAGACTATTGATAAATTTTCTCTCTTTGCAGAAAAGTGTTCTACTTACATGGAGCGTAGAACATGACCAGTACAGAGCTGTGTCTGTACACGAAGTTGTCAAACGTCTGGTCTGTCAGGTGGTTGATCTCACTCGGAACTTCTGACCACTCGGCTTCAGGAGGGGGTGGGGGAGGGGGGGCCTGGGGGCTGCAAAATCATGTCTTTATTCATCATCTTCTACTTCATTTCAATTTTCAAGGTTGTAACAGTGTGGTTCAAACTTAAAAACACCATAATACAACTGTACTTACAATAATATCAAGGAAATGACATACATCATAATCCTGGTATATAAAATCTAGGAAATAACATTATCGTGGTGATTGTACTAGTAAGAATGTCAAACATTACCTGTGCCAAAATTAGTCTAAAAACAACTACAACTTCACACTACAAAAGAAAGTTGCAAAATAATAAATTCAGTGAGAGTTTGCGTCAGTACTGTCAGTCTTTTACATACAAGCTGTCAGTGTCAGTGAAGTCTATAGTCACTATTATGATAAATACCTGTCTGTCAACTGTTACCTGTCATATCACATGTACAACAGAATACCGTCAAGACTGTTGTCAGGATGCATGCAGCATGCAAAGTCTCTGTCCTTGTCACCCTGTATCTTATAACACATCAGCATGGAAAGTTAAACATGCAGTCATTAATATCAAACAAGAGCAAGAATGAGCATAAAACTTTGTGTTGTTACATAACTTTATACAAGCATACTTCAAATTGCGATCTAAAAAGTTAAGATCTTCAGATGACAGAACAGAAAAGAAACAAAGACAAAACCAGACAATAAAAGGGAACTTACTTCTTCATAAACTTGACAAGGTCCTGAGTGGCCCTTCCCATAGTGTACTTAAACTCCTTCTGCCCATTTCTGAAACACACAGGAAATAGAATATCAATCCACTTTTAATTCATGATAGTGAATTCAGCATCAAGGACAGGTGTGTTGTTGTCTGTATCATGGATAGTGAATTCAGCCCCAAGGACAGGCATGTTGTCTGTATCATAGATAGTGAATTTTGCATCAAGGACAGGTGTGTTGTTGTCTGTATCATGGATAGTGAATTCAGCACCAAGGACAGACATGTTGTCTGTACATAGATAGTGAATTCTGCACCAAGGACAGGCATGTTGTTGTCTGTAGCATGGATAGTGAATTCAGCACCAAGGACAGGCATGTTGTCTGTATCATAGATAGTGAATTTTGCATCAAGGACAGGTGTGTTGTTGTCTGTATCATGGATAGTGAATTCAGCCCCAAGGACAGGCATGTTGTTGTCTGTATCATGGATAGTGAATTCAGCACCAAGGACAGGTGTGTTGTTGTCTGTATCATGGATAGTGAATTCAGCACCAAGGACAGACATGTTGTCTGTACCATAGATAGTGAATTCTGCACCAAGGACAGGCATGTTGTTGTCTGTAGCATGGATAGTGAATTCAGCACCAAGGACAGGCATGTTGTCTGTATCATAGATAGTGAATTTTGCACCAAGGACAGGCATGTTGTGGCCTGTATCATGGATAGTGAATTCAGCACCAAGGACAGGGATGTTTACCCGTGTGTGGATGGTGTTCAGCACCAAGGACAGGCATGTTGTCTGTAGCATGGATAGTGAGTTCAGCACCAAGGACAGGGATGATGTTGTGCCATGGATAGTGTTTTAAGCAAATGTTTTTTTTTTCCTCATACATCCTGGTGGAATAAATTTATCTGTACTTACTTGAAGTAGAGTATTGTAGGATATCCCCTGACTTCATACTTGGTTCCAACGTCTCTGAACTGAGTAGCGTCCAAGGCTGCCAGTTTTGCCGTGGGAAGTTCAGACTTCAGGATGGTCGCTGCTTCCTCAAACGCTGGTTTCATCCGCTTACAGTGACCACACCCTGGAGGAAGGAAAGGTTTCAGTGTGGGCAACACGTAAAAATAACTAAAACTAGTACATACATACAGAATGAAACCTGACAGTGTAGTCATTACTGTCCAATTCATCATCATCATTACGGGCAGTTTGCCACATAAAGTTTGTTGCAAATTCTTGCCCGAGGGCAAATTGCAAGTAACAGGAAAAGGACAAACAAACAATGAAGCACAGTAGCATTCTTATCTAAAAGCTGGTTCTAATTAGTTTTAACTTTGTTAGGTTTGCCTTGTTTTTCTGAGACAGTGGAAGATGAAATATCTCAGTTTTTCCGTGATGTGTGTGTTTAGTGGATAGTATTTTTCTCTTTTTTTGGCAATGTGAAAAAATTGGAATAGAATTTGTTGGCTTCTCTAAAAAGCTCCCTTCTGTAATGACCATATAGAAGGTACATAATTGTTGTGTCATACTAGCAAAAACAGTTTGAGCCTTACACGGTGCGTAGAACATGATCAGGACAGAGTTGTGATCAGCCACAAACTGGTCAAAGGATTCAGCAGTCAGGAAGTTCACATCTGCGGCAGAGTCGGTCGAGGCCCACTCATCAGTCGGTGCTTCTCTCTTTGGTCGTTCTTTCTGCTCTTCTGCTGGTTTCTCAGCTTCCTGAAGATTACATGTACATAATGTTACATCATTAGTGTATATAGTTAGATAGTGTATAGGTATCTTAAGTGGTTTTATGATGTTATTCATCTCTGTTAATACTGATTTTTAACGTTTTAGCTGATGTATTCATCGTTGTGATAAGTTTTTGCTGTATTTTACAGATAATGATGCAGATATATGTAGGATTTGGCCCGATTTTATGCTAACTTTATTTATTTTTATGCTAAATAATGGGCGCATGTTGTAAATACTCCACACATTTCTGCAGTATATGTTTTTGTATGCTATACGTGCATATTCTATACTATACTACATTCTTTCCCATCTTGAAAAAACAAGAATGATTATGACATGCACCATACAAGTCATCTATCTGCCTGGTGTACAAATGTCTACCTTCTTTGGCTCCTCTTTCTTCTGTTCTTCCACCTTCTTCTCTGGTTCCTTTTGTTGCTGAGTTGGTTCCTCCTTCTTTTGTTCTTCAGGTTTAGCCTCCTCCTTGGGCCTTAAAAGAAGACAAGGTGTTACTGCTAACAACACCTAGCTTCAGTGCACAGTCGTAATTGCCCTGATGACAGACATGACAAAGAAAATGTTGGCTTGTGTAAAAAGTGGCTATGAATAAAGAACTTAACTATTTAATATTTAGAGTACCGGTACTTTTGATGCACTTGTCCAGAGCAGCAGATATATGTGACCTAGCAGAATTACATTTCATTTTAAACTATACAATTAGTAGATGTTACACATCCTTACTGTTTAGGAAGACTGTTGAGCATGAAGGCAACGAAGTCCTCTGAAGTCCTACCGAGGTTGTAGTCAGAGACCTGGGCACCGTCCCTGGAAACAACAAGGGCAGAACGTTTGATATAAGGTCGTATTTGTGCAATATAACGTTAACATCCCGTCTGTAGTTTCTAAATGCTGTGTTGGAAAAGATACCGTCTGCAACGGGCAAACTTCTGCTGCAACACTGACCAAACATCCAACCAAAACCATGAAAAATCAGGGTTTTGCGCAGGCGCAGTACGTTCTGCCAATGTGCGTATTCCAGTTTGTATGCTGATACAGAGCTTTAAACAATGTCTAGAATTAGATGTTCAAGGGTTAGGTGTAACATGTCTATCAGTGTAATGTAGTAGCCAGCTACCGCCATCCCGCATGCCTGCGAAGCTGGTGTGTTACGCCGAAAGTCGGTTATACCTGCTATACTGATACAGATACTTACTTGACCAGCTTGAAGGTAGGATAACCCTTCACGTCGTGTGTTTGGCACACTTCGGAGTGTTTGGTGCAGTCTACAGCAGCCAGTGTGGCTGAGATGCCGTCTGTCTTCAGAAGCTCAGCTGCTTTCGTGTACTCTGGCTTGGCCCTCTTACAGTGGCCACACCCTGGTGGTTTAAATGAAACAAAAAGTTCAGGTCTTAAGCCTGTATCACACAGCAGAAAAATCGCTCTCACGTCAAGTCTAGTATTTTTCAAAGGTACAGGAAAATTAAATAAAATTCATATCTTAAAAATGACCAAACTACATTAAATCTTTAAAGTTTTCAGTGGTTTTATTTCAGCAGTATTTGGTGGCAGCAATCTCATCATGACCCAAATGAAAAATATGTACGTTATCCTGTTTCAAACAAAACAAATTTAAAACAATGTGAAAAACTCTTTCTCCTACACACTCCATATCTATGTTCTTTTGTACAAGATGAATTTATATATTATTATGCGAATATGATTTTTTTTTTAATGTGTGACGGTGATCTGGAATACTTACATGGTGCATAGAACATGACCAGTACAGGGCTGTGTTCCTGTGTGTAGGTAGCAAACGTTGCGTCGGTGAGATGCACAACATCAGATGGCTCCTCACTCCATTCTTTCTCTGGAGGAGGCGGTTTCGTCTCTTTGGGACTGGAAAAAATAAAACACAGCTGAAATTTTGAACCCTAGAAAATCACAAATTGGGTATAGTTTCACTGGTAATATAGGGAATTTCAGAGTATATTTTGAGCTCTGAGATTCCAAATTACATTATAATCTATTATCCTTATTTCTGATATCTAACATTTTTTTTAAACTCACTCTTTCATAAATGCCACAATGTCCTCAGTGGTTCTTCCTTTCTGGTATTGGAAGGCCATCTCTCCATTTCTGAAAAAAAAATTTAAATCTTAACTTGTAAAGCAAACAAGTATTTATTATATAACCAACATAAGACAGCATTCAATACATATGCATAGTGTCCTCAAAAGTGTACACATTATGGAAATCATGATCAGGTACTACAAAGTCTCTGCAATGGGATTAGAACCAACAACCTCTGGTTATGGTCTTGTCATTAGGGTTGTTGACTCAGAATCTGAAGGTTTTGGGTTCAAATCCATGGTAGGCCCCACTGTTGTGTCCTTGGGGAAGGTACTTTACACCTATTTTCTCACTCAACTCAGGTGAGTTTTACACAGCTTGTATTTACTGTACAAGACTGATGTGATATACCTAAAAGGCAGTTAATATGTTATGCCAAACAAACAAAAATGTAAAAAAAAAACAACACTCACTTGAAGTACTTGATAGTTGGGTATCCCCTGACTTCATACTTTGTTCCCAGAGATGAGTACTTTGTAGCATCAACAGCGGCAAGTTTTGCATCAGGTTTTTCTGCCATCAACAATTCTGCTGCCTCCTGGTAGGCTGGCTTCATCTTCTTACAGTGGCCGCACCCTAGTAAAAATGTCATACAAATTTTAAACATCAGGCCCATTCTGTTATACACACTGGAAAAACTAACATGTGAGTTTATTCCACAATCACTGTAACAGCTTTAACTGTGTTAACTCAATATGTTTTACATTCACAGTCTGATGTACAAGTTTTAAGATGTAAGAGGAGACCATGAAATTGCAACATTATGTAACCCAACACCAGTCGCCATGGTGACAGACATCAACAAATCATGTCACTGGTCAGGTCATAGGTCACTGTTTGGAGAAGAAGAAGAAGAGGAAGAAACTGAGCAAAAACAATGTTTTACTTTCAATTGGTAAACATAAAGACTCACAAGGTGCGTAGAACATGACCAGTACAGAGCTGTGTTACTTACATGGAGCGTAGAACATGACCAGTACAGAGCTGTGTTACTTACATGGAGCGTAGAACATGACCAGTACAGAGCTGTGTTACTTACATGGAGCGTAGAACATGACCAGTACAGAGCTGTGTTACTTACATGGAGCGTAGAACATGACCAGTACAGAGCTGTGTTCCTGGATGAAGCTGTTGAAAGTTTCGTCTGTCAGGTGGTTGACCTCACTCTCGACCTCTGACCACTCCGGCTCCGGTGGTGGTGGGGGAGGGGCCTTCTGCGGGCTGCAATAAAATTACCAAATTTATTTTTGCACAAGCAGAAAAAAATGAGAAGACCTTATTCCAATGAAGGACAAAAAGTAGACCAAGGAATCCCATATCGTAGCATAAATTTGTCTTTTAAGTTTAGTCTTTACTTTTCAAGTTAGACCCTCAAAAACTTCAACTGATTCTTGTTTTCAAAATGGTACAGCTTAAACACATAGCAAGTTATAGTTAAGGTTTACATGTAACTATCTGGCATCTAAAAGTCAAAATATCTAGTCAGTATTATTATTTTACTACTTATTGTTGGCACTATGAAGTTTTTAGACCATAGACAGAACTGTGGTGTGTAATTAGAGGATGGGAATCAAGGGAAGTCAAACTTACTTTTTCATAAATTCTACAAGGGCGTCCATAGTTCTCGCTTTGTTGTAGTCAGTGTTGAATTCTCCGTCCCTGGAAAAGTAGGATTACCGGGTCCACAATTATTTGTCAAATAAAAAAACACTGATTTACTACTGATATTTGAAAGAAAAATAAATCAAAACTAAAAGGGTGATGTTGTGCAAGGAATGAAAAGATACTTACTTGAAGTGTTTCACTGCAAGAGAATGTAGGGTAGACAAGAAGAACATGTTAGTAAACAGAATTTCAGGCATAAATTTAACTAAGTCATGTTTAACATCATTTCTTAGGACTACAACACACATTATCATCTCATAAGCACCATTCATGCATTAAGACAGTGTAGTTTCAGAGCTCAGTATTTTGTTTACAACATTGGTACTGGTATCAAAATGTGGAAAGAGATAAAGCATTGTCCAGGACCTCTTTTTAAACATGTCTAGTAAATTGTATTTTGTATAAACTGTAAAGGTATTTTGAACGTTGGTGAGATGTCAGAGGTGAGATGTCAGAGGTGAGATGTCAGAGGTGAGATGTCAGAGGTGAGATGTCAGAGGTGAGATGTCAGAGGTGAGATGTCAGAGGGGAGATGTCAGAGGGGAGATGTCAGAGGTGAGATGTCAGAGGTGAGATGTCAGAGGTGAGATGTCAGAGGGGAGATGTCAGAGGTGAGATGTCAGAAGTGAGAGGTGAGCTCACATGTAGGGAATCCTGTGATGTCATATTTGCTCTGCAGGACCCTGTCCACAGTGGCATCGACAGCAGCAAGAACTCCGGGTATCTGCAACAACAAGTTGGTCTGGTGGTTAGGATTGTAGTCTCAGAGTCTGAAGGTTCTGGGTTCGAATCCTTAGCTAGTAGGCAAGGTGGTTTTGTGGCCTGGTGGTAAAAGTTGTTGACTAAGGATCTGGGTTCAAATCCCTGGATGGCCCCAGTGTTGTGTCCTTGGGAAAGGCACTTTACATTTTTTCCTCACTTGACTCATGTGAAAATGAGTACCTAGCTACAGTTAGGGACGTCCTCTCAGATGGCACATAAAGCCAGAGGTCCTGTGTTTGAGGAAAGCCACACCTCGAGCATGTTACAGATCCTACTATACTTATCAATAAGACTAGCGGTTCTTACAGGGGAAAACAATTCCTAAAATGTTTGATGTAATGACATGAGAAGAAAAGACTTCCTACCTCATCCTCCTTGAGTGCTTTAGCTGCTAAGGCATAGTCTGGCTTCATAGCTTTGCAGTGGCCACACCCTGCAATAAAACATTATCACATCAATCAATGCATACATTTAGTAATTATACATTAAAGAGACTTGAAGTTTTCATTATTCAAAGTAAACACCAACAGGTCCAATAAAAAAAACTAATGAAAAAAGATGGAGGATGCCTTCTGAAAGCTTCTCAAAGCTAAAGTGTTTGTTTGGACTTTTAGTTCAATCCTTTGTTTTTCAATACATCATCTTGTGTCCCAGACTCCAAATTTGTAGCTAGAAGGTCTTAACTATGACAATAAGTGATTTGTCACATTGGTGGCCTTCAACACCTAAAAAAACAACCCTTTTGTCGACACCAAATCTTTCCTCAATAGTAGTGACTAATGAATAGTGACTGTCTAATAGTGACTTTTCAAACCTACATGGTGCGTAGAACATGACCAGTACAGATGAGTGCTGCTGTACAAACTCCTCAAACGTGTTGTCATGGAGATGGACCACCTCCTCCGCCCCCTCCAGCTCTGCCCACTCCTCCGCAGGGTCCTTAGGGGGTGGGGTGGGGGGCGTCGGGTTCAGGGGGTCAGACATGAAGGCTACAAAATCTGCTTCCTGAAGGGACAAAGGGAAAATGGAGAGGGGAAAATAAAGAAACGTGTGACATACAATTATTATGAAATTGTAGTATATGGCCATTTGCCTAAGTACAAGTCACAAGAATTTAAAAAGTTCTACAGTTCTACAGATACATGTATAGTTACTAGCATTGTCAAGCTAGTAACTGTTACTGTATGGGGGTTCAGTTCTCCAGACTGGCATGCTGAGAATATTGGTCTGCCGAATCTTCACAGCTTTTTACAGAATGAGATAATAATGTTCAACCGTTCCTCCACAACACAGAAGATGAACCTTAAACTCAGCGATGTTGCTCTATAAATATACAGATCAATTAACCAATTGACTTTTATTTCTCAACAACTGTAACTGGTACAATGTATGGCAAAAAAGAAACAACAAGGGTAGATACATAAACTATACTGAAATACAATTCTAACAGAGCTACAGAAGAGAAAACATTCTGACCTCTCTCCCTCCCTCATAGTCCTTGGGGTTCTTGCCGTAGTTGAAGTACTTGATGGTTGGGTAGCCCCTCACCTCGTACTGCCCACACACCCCCTGCTGCGTGGTACAGTCCACCGCTGCAAACGTCACCTGGGCAAAATCACATACAGTAAGACTAAGTCCACTTCTGCTTGTGGGGATGTGATTTTAAAATTTGTGGTAGGTGGGGAAAGGGGTGTTTGCAATTGTCTTCATTTTGTGGTTAAAGCATAATTTATGCATGATAGTTAAAAAGTAAATTAGGCAGAATTGCTTGTATTCATTTTCATTGGAACCAAAGTAATATTTTGAAATAAAAGCAAATTCACAGTGCTTTAAGCAACAAAAATACATGTAAAACAACTGGAAAGATTAACAGTATTTGCTTTATCAAAATGTGTTAGAATGAAAGTTAAGTTACCTTGGTGTCGTCCTTGTATTTCTCTGCAGCGCTGGTGAATTCTGGCTTGGCCTTTTTACAGTGACCACACCCTGCAGGATAAAATAATCTATCTAATTCACTGGTGTAACTTATCTTAATGTATTTAATATAAGAGTTATAGAGATGAATAGATACATGTGTGCAATCCTCCCCCCAATTTCCGTAAATAATTTCATCAGGTTGGAAGATACTTAGGGTATAGGATTTTCTTCTAACACAACCAGTAAGGTTCTCACCTGCTTACGTTTCGATGTCTATCAGACACCTTCCTCAGAGCTTCTGACTGGAGTTCTGCAACTCGCCGCTATTTAACGTCAAAGTAGGTGGCGCTTTTGCGGCGAGAATGCAATCCCAAATGTGGCTGAGCTTGTATCCCCCCTCGTCCCGGTTCATCACTGGGGTAGACTACCCCACAAATAGCGGCGAGTTGCAGAACTCCAGTCAGAAGCTCTGAGGAAGGTGTCTGATAGACATCGAAACGTAAGCAGGTGAGAACCTTACTGGTTGTGTTAGAAGAAAATCCTATACCCTGTGTGCAATCCTGTTTTCAGCACCTATAAGAGATTTTACTGAAAACTGTATAGAGCATAGAGTAAGAGACCAGAGCATGGGGTCTTTCTTTGTTTGTTTATTTGTTTGTTTGTTTGTTTGTTTGTACTTACACGGAGCGTAGAACATGACGAGGGCATGTTTCCTCCTCTTGAGTTGAGACTTGAAGTCTTCGTCCCCGAGGTGAACGACCTCTGACTCCACGTCCTGCCAGGGCTGCTCTGGCGGCGGGGGAGGGGGGGGCTCCTGCGGACTGGGAACGGAAACATATTTCAAAAATTTTTTGGGTTGCACCATATAAAACAAAACATAATACAGATCTTACTGCTCCTCTTCTGAGCTTGAATCTGAAATGGGAGCTTATCTTACACAAGTACTACAACAAAGATTTTATTAGTTTTTCTGATGCCAAGAATATCCTACATACTATTATTTAATACAAAAATACCTACAAAAATATTTGGGTGCACAGCTCCAATTTGTAAGGTGCACATGCACCCAGTATTTCGAGCCCAGTACAGGCAGTACCACCTAAAATTTTCCCAAAAAAACATTTCTCTACTCACTCCTTCATGAAGTCGACTATCTTATCCGCCGTCCGGTCGTTGAACCCAAAGGCCTCCTCTCCATCCTTGAAGTACTTGACTGTCGGGTAACCTTTGACCTCGAACCTTTTGGCGACCTGAGGAGACTTGGTTGCATCCACAGCTGCTAGTATGCCGTCAATCTGAAATAATGGTGAAACAGTTATTATGTTTACCGAAGGAAAACATATTGTTTTTACTACATTTCTTCTTCGTCTTCAGTGAGTGTTCCAAACACTAACCTCTGACTTGGCCAATGGCCTGATTTGTTGATGTCTGGCACTATGGTAACTGGTGTTAGGTTACATCATGTTGCAATTTCATAGGAGGGATGTAGACTCCTGTCTGGCCATATATACATGTATGAATGCACAATCATGTATTTGACTAAGAAGAGCAGACCATATGCGAAGGTAAACATTATGCATTTGCTTTGCAAATGTTACTTTTCTAGTTAAATGTTTACTTCCAGCCCAGGTTGCACATTCAGAACCTTCCCCTGACCACCAACCCACCAAGATTGGCTGAAGTTTGGGAGCAGTCTGACCAGATTTAGGCCACGCCTACCTTTCATGTAAGATTGATCTTTCGTATGACTAGAAGCTAACAAACTTAGCTGTAAAACGTTCTTATGATGATGATAAAATAAAAATAAGAAAAAATATTCGTACATTGTCCTGCTTGAGAGTTGTAGCTGCCTCATCATATTCTGGTTTCATCTTCTTGCAATGGCCACACCCTGTAAACAGGTTAGAAATTATACAACAGTTACTGAAAAATTGAAACATGAGACAACTAATAATGATTAGTACTTGTCTCTGTCACTCAGAGTCAGAATAATATTCCGGACCTGGTAAACTGTACCATTTACAATCATGCAGCTTAAGGTACATACCTGAATTGAGATGATCTTACTAAAAATATGCATATAATACACATACTTGTACAAAAGAATCAAATATATTAGGTGCATACAATGCATTGTACAGTCTAGAGTATTGATGGACTTGGTAGGACTTCAATCATGTAACCTGTATGTTGTTATATTTTGTCTGACCATGACCTGTTCCATTATGACTAACAGTTACTTCTAATCAGAATCTATGAAAGTTGTCAGCAGGCTGATTCATGAATAAACAAGGTCTCAAAGAAAAAACATTTTTAGACACTCACAAGGTGCGTAGAACATGACCAGTACGGAGGCGTGTTCCTCAATGTAGGTGTCGAAGGTCTCGTCTGTGAGATGTACAACATCAGAGTCCGCGTCACTCCACTCTGGCTCTGGGGCCTTCTCTACTGGAGGCTGGGGGCTAGGGGAGGGAGGGAGATTATCATTATTATACATTACATAAACATTTAACAGATTTACACAATGACAAAGAGACCATTCCCACTGGCCTTTGTGGCTAAGGTGTGCTCGCTAGGACTTTTTTCAGTAGTGTTTTATTCCTCTGGGTTTACTTTCTAGGACTTCTATGCAGACTTTCTGATACAGGTAGTTTGTGTAACTTATTTTTACAAGAAAACATTCTGTTGGAAGGTCTAGGTTTCTGTACCAAATGTTATAAATTGTAGTTATATACATATATACTTACTCCTTCATCCAGTCAATGATGCCTTGTTTGTTGTTTTCTCCTCCATATTTGTACTTCTGCTTTCCATTCCTGAAAACACAAAACAAAAATGGTCAAATCACAGATTGTAAGGTTGACAATCAACTAAATCTACAATACTACATGTAGTAGTTAAAGCACAAAAAGTCAGGAATCTAAAAACAAAAAATCAGCTTATCAGGTCTCAGAAGCAATTTTACAGTTATTAGAGCATAACTGGAGTGCCTTCACTGTTATTTATTAAAGTGTAGATTGGTGTCTAGAATTGTTAGGTATTATATACCAGCATTAGTTCAACTTCCAAACATTGTACCTGCTACATGTATAAATGTAAACTTCTTCTACATCATTCAGATATTTCTAAACTTCTTATAATAAGAAAACAGGAACTACTTACTCAAAATACAGAATAGTTGGGAATCCTGTGATGTTAAACTGCCTCCTCACAGCTTCATTCTCAGGTTTGTCCACGTCCATTCCTGCAAGGGTCTAGAAGAACAAGGAAATGTGTGTATGCTGTGATTTCCATTGTAGTGCAGTACTGCCCCCTAGCATTGGAGTACAGTATTGCATGTGTGATACGCACTGTAAAGGAGGATCACTAAGTACTGGATTATGGTTATTACTACACACAAAGTATGTCAAAAGTATGTCTCACACAATTACACTGGCCAAATACCAGTCTCTAAGTCCTAAATTTCCTTCCACTTCCACTGACTTACACAATTGTATTTCAGTGCCCAGATTAGATGCCTTTTGGCCTAGATTGAACAAACTCGCTAGAATAAGCGCATAACATCACATAAACAGCACTCACTGCTTGTCCTTTCAACTCTGTAGCAGCTGCAGCGTAATCTGGCTTCAACCTTTTACAGTGGCCACACCCTGAAATCAGGAAAAAAAATATATTATATAAAAAAAATTGAAGCTAAATTTCACTTCATCATTTCTTTGTCTAGATAGAATTTATTACATTTATTCATGACTTCATGTTATGACAATTTACATTGCCATCAAATACAAAAGGCCTGTCTAAATATACCATCATGCAAGCTGTAAAATTGCACTAATCTCATCTTTCTCCTTGCAAACATTTTTATACCATGCTTTAACCTTCTAATTGCTGCAGCTGCCTAACACCATAATCAATACAAAAGTTAGAGCAAACAGTTATCTTGGCATACTGAGGATTAACACACCCAGAAGACATGAAAAGTTACCTACAAGGTGCATAAAACATAATCAGGATGGGCGTCTTTTCTTTTTTCACAAGTCTGTTCAAGGCCTGAAAACAACAGAATACAACTGTATCAAACAACATGCATTTCCACCGCAAGTCAGCAGAACGTACTGCACCTGCGCAAAACCCAGATTTTTCACAGTTTTCGTTAGATGCTTGGTCAACATCACATTAGAATTTTGCTACTTGCAAAGGATATTTTTTCCGATGCAATACTTGAAAACCATTGACGGGATTTCATCCTTAAATACGAGAAGAGGACTTTAAAGTGAGACATTCTGCTGAAGCGATATGCACATTACATGATTAGTGCAGGCACTGTAATTGTTCTGCCAACGTGCTCAAGCGCTCCTACAAGGCTTAATCTTCATTCTCTGATTATGCCATAAACTTCAAGTGACATTGTATTCAGTTGTTTCACTGTTGTGTTAGTAGTCCATTACTCTCAATGACTGTACGTGTTAGAAAGAGCGCCGCTTCAGGCACAGAACTATATCATGATTCTGGATATGATACATGATAATTGTGTTAATGATAAATCTCAAGACAAATAATTGAATAAACAAAGAAATAAGTAAAATGTCTTGACCTTATCGCTGTCCACGTGTATGACGTCCTTCGCTGTCGGGTCCTCCTCCCACGGAATGTCACCTGTCGGGTCACGGAGGAAGTTCATCATCGACTGAGGAGGGAGGGAGGAGAAAAGCAGTCTGTAAACTCAGTAGGAAAACCGGTATGGTCTACGTGTCAGTCAGACCAACAGTGTGAGGAAGGAGGGAGAAAAAACAGTCAGTAAACTTAGCAGGTAAACAGGTATTCTACATGTGGTAATATAAACCTTCATATCAGTCAGCCTAACAACAAGTTCTTGTTCTTGTAATGCCTAATGAAAGAGATGAATACAAACATAGGGGAGAATTTCTACCACCTCTACTGTACAATGTGACACATGACAGGCTACCATCAAGCCTCAGTATCCACATATGAGGTTTAACCCTAGAGGCACAGTGAACAACAGATGAGAAATCAGATAGTGAGAAAGTGTGTGAGTGAGTAACATTAGTCGAGGAGTAGAGGTTCTGGCATCCACGCTGGCTCTCTTCACCCGAGCAAAGGTTATAAGAACTAAGAGGAATTTGGAGAAACCTCATAGGCTACAAATCTTAGCACTAAACAGTAAACAATACATTATACTAATGGAAAAGGAATAAACTAGTACTAGTAGACACAGTGTTTATCTACCTTGTACGTTTCTTGTCTGTCATAACCTTTGTTGAAGTCACCATCCCTGAAGGAAGATGAAACATTTCATGAGTCAGACATTCTTCATAGTCCTCTCATGTTTAACTACAAAATTAAAGTAGTAACATTCAGAACATTGGATCTCCAGAAATACATGACTTGTGCACTAGTGACTTACTTGTAATGTTTCAGCTCGTAAGTTGTAGGGTTGGACTTCACCTTCTTGCATAGTTTCTTCGCTTCCTTGTCACTGCAAACAGTCAAAACATAAACATACAAGTAAACAAAAGCCACAGGTTTGTTTGTTTGTTTTGAGAAGCTCAAATAGGTATGAAGGCCACTTTTCATTGTCATGAGTGTCGAGCAAAATATATACATTGTAATAACTATACAGTTTTCATGCATGTAATTATAATATTTAGCTGTTTAGTTATACAGCAAGTTCTTTAACGTCAGTTGAAATAAATTCTACAAACCATGACCTAACAGTACTGATGTCAACTCTCATGTTATAGAGTAGCGTGTTTGTCACATGAATGTGTCTTCGCTTTGTCTATCACAGATTTTAGGTTATCATGATTTTAAAAGTGAATGTTGAATTAGTTGAAAAAAGAGAAGTGCCTACTGTTGTTAAGAGCAACACAATTCATACACATGTCGAATAAAGATTCAATTGAGATTGTCAAACTTGTGAAGTTTCCCTACCTGCAGTCCACAAAGACCAGAGTCCCGAGTCCCTTCATGTCTTCTGCCACCTGAGCAAAGGTGTCCATGATGGGACTGGCTGCCTTCTCTGCAAAACAGAACAAAACAATAAACATATTATGTTATAAATCAAATGGAAAGACAGATTGATGATTTTTTTAAATATAAGATAACTTTAAGATAACTTAATTGCACAACAGTTGTACTTAGACTTAGAGTAAGTTAGAGCTTACATCTTAGACCACATGGTACAAGTGAGTGTGGTAAATCTGTGAGTTTGAAACCATTTGCATTAAAAAAAGAAGTCTAAAGATTTACTCAATGTCAAAAGAATATCCTCAGACAGATAATAAATTGCATGTTAACATCATCATGTTGTATATCAATGAATACTCTTTACAATTTCAAGCAAACTGTGGTTGAGTAATCTGACAAGATGTAGTATTGATGATGGCTTTGTGTACCTGTTTGTTCTACACATAAATTATAATATCAGTTTTGTGATTGTGCAAGTTCCTTGTATGCATGTGACAAGACAGTATTCAGTATAGTCCAGGAATATTAGTCCTGGTATATTTCACCAGGACTTTTATATCCTACTAGTAGTGATTCCACCCCTCACCCCCCACTGGACCTCTGGGAATAGCAGCTATATTGTAAGGCTGACAGGGCTGTCCAGTCTAAATACAAGTTATTCCTTCATTCGTTCATTTGTTCCTTTGTTCGTTCGTTTGTTCATTCGTTCGATCCTACAGCCTCACCTGACTTGGCGAAGAGAGACAAGACGTTGGTCCTTGTCCTGAGGATCTTCTTGAACTCCTTGTGGTCGTCGACGGTTAAGACGTACGACATCTTGTTCTTCTTAGCCGGCAGGGAGAAGGGCACCAGCATCTGCAACATCAAGGGCATTTCTTTAAGATTTCTTCAAGACATGTACATACTGTAGAAGATATGGTTCTTTTGAGGCTTAAGTTCAATTTCACCAATACTAGTAACACACTTGACTTAGCCCAGTCCAGACAAACCTGAAGCCTGGTACAGGCTAACCAATACCAGTAACACACTTGACTTAGCCCAGTCCAGACAGACTTGAAGCCTGGTACAGGCTAACCAATACCAGTAACACACTTGACTTAGCCCGAGTCCGGACAGACTTGAAGCCTGGTACAGGCTAACCAATACCAGTAACACACTTGACTTAGCCCAGTCCAGACAAACCTGAAGCCTGGTACAGGCTAACCAATACCAGTAACACACTTGACTTAGCCCAGACAAACCTGAAGCCTGGTACAGGCTAACCAATACCAGTAACACACTTGACTTAGCCCAGTAAAATAGTCCATGAAGTCGGTGGCAGTCGGCTGTCCTGGCTGTCTGGCCTCGATTGATTTCCAATCGGCCGTCTTGAGAGCAGCGGCCTGGAGTTAAATCTAATCACTGAGAAGTGCCGCAGCTTCTGAGGGACTCATTGTTCCTGTCAGACTCAATTTCTTGGGTTACGGTAAGGCCACACCAATTTAATTTGTGGTTTCTCGGATTTGCTCTGTCTTTTTTTCTGATTTGCAAAGAAAAAAAATTTTTGTTCTAAATCAACTGCAAAATGCTCAATGACAAGACATATTTTGGCCCCAACGGTTGAAGAAAGTCCGTTTCTTCCTAGTTGTTAAAAGTTTTTCAATCTAACAATGAAACATTGTTTCATTAAAAGTTCAAAATCTACTGTTTTAATTATAAAGGAGCCTGGTTCACTTCATGGCTCATATTGCAACATTTCTGGCTATCATGGGGTGCCTTGGCCTTTTTTTAAACAACAAATTAAATTGGTGCCTTACTGTAAATTGTGAAATATTCACTGTGGTTTTATGCTTGCTCAATCACCTCACAAGTATTCTGTCCTCTCCTATGTTACTACAGAGAATTGTTTTAATCGTAAGTTTCATACACAGCAAACACCTCATCCTTTTTTATTTTTATCTTATTTACCTGCACATAAACGTAATAAGAGCAAAGTTTACAAAACATGACACAACAGAAAAGTAAATCTAATCACATGAGAAGTGCCGCGGCTTCTGAGGGACTCATTGTTCCAGTCAGACTCAATTTCTCAGGTTACTGTAACTACTGATAAATTTGCGGTGGTTTTGTGTATGTGGTTTGAGGTTTTAACTAGGCACGGACCTCTAGCTGGCACCAGTTTTTCCATCAATTGCAGGAACTTTCTGACGTGTGACGGAAAAATTTGTATTACCAATCCGTCAACCTTGATGGACAAAAATCTTGGGTAAGAATTTAAAAACATCCAAAGGACTCAGTGAGTGCTACCAACCATTCTCAATCACATGATTTGCCTCTCAAAATGTGGGAAATTGCATTTTCAAAGACTTTGGAGCTCCCCAGGCCCTAGATTGTGAGCACTCTCCCCCAGGTCCAATCACGAACCTGGGCTGACAGGAAAATAACTTGAGCTGGCTAGAGCCCTGCTTAACTAACTCTAAAAAGCTAACACATGTTCTGTCTTCTGTATTACTACAGTTGTTTTAATTGTGAACTTCATAGTACACAGCAAACGCCTCCTTCCCCATCCTACCGCAAAATTAACTCCACACAAACTTGCATCGATCTACACTAGTGCTCCGATCCTGGGAGCAGAGCTTGTTATGTCTTAGCCTCCGTAGCAGGCTTGTAGAACTGGGGTTTTGGTGGTCTTCGGCTGTTTTCTGATTAGCCCAGTTCTAAAGACGCGGGTAATTCAACCAGGCCGGCTATGTTGTCTATATCATACCTCTGTAAAAAGGAAATTTCAGCGGACTAGTCCGGACTAGTCCGAGGTGGTCCCAGCAGGTCCCAGACGGTTGGGACTAGTCCTGTCAGACACAGAACGGTCCGAGGTGGTCCTGGGAGTCAGGGGCATGACTAGTCCGGCAGGTCCACTGGTCCCGGACTAGTCCCGGACCTGACTACAACCCTTTGGACTAGTCCTGCTTAATTAAAACCTACATTATCACAGAGCCGTGGTGCAGCGCCCCCTTCTGTACATCGGACGTATCGACCAAAGTCGGTGTGGGGCAAATCCGACCAACCTTGTAGAAAGTTGAAAACTGAGAGCGGAGCTAGAACAATGAGAATGCGCCGTGAAATACGAACAAAATCGTTGTCAACTTGCATAAATTTCACACTAACAAAAGTAGAATCATAAAAATCTTTAAAGTCCTTTGCGAAATATAATATGATTTTGTGGGGAATATGACATTGTGGGGGTTTCTACGATTATTAATAATTACAAAAGAGTTCTAAAAGTCGCCCGCGGTTCACTGGACCTGTGACACCTGGTGTTGTCTTTATGCGCTGCAAGTGCGAACAGCTATGTCAGGCCCCTCAATTGACGATAAACTATACTCTTCATCACTTTCTCCATCGTCGCTTCTTGTTTTGAGGGTGATAAATGCCGCAGAAGACGTCATATTCTTGACGACTTGGTACCGCGCCGCGCCGACGGCCGGCCAGTAGTAAACAATGTCGGCCATTTTGGCGGGTCACGTGGTTTGTTGAGATTTCGCAATCCTTTGGATCCGGGAATGTTTCATATTCTTCAAGCTGACCTCTTTGAAAATCTGTGGGTTCAGAACCGGCTAACCGGCTGAATGGGTTCCAAGGGTGAAGATGTGGTTTTAGTGGATTTTCGGTGGATTCAGAACCGGTACGGTCCGCTGATTTTGGACCCAGATACTTGATATATGGGGATAAACTATAAAGGGCCGCCTGTCAGCCTCAGAGCTTGGCTGGAACTAATTAACGCTGGCACTGCCGGGCAAACAAACCAGCGCGAACTGTCGGGAAAGGTTGACATTACGCTGCGCGGTGTATCAAAAGTCACTGTATATGATTGTTATAAAACAAATAAAGACTGAAGGATTTACCTGCGCAAAATATACTTGAAAAAATTGCATTCCAAAGATATTATTAGTTGATAGAGAATGCAGTACCAATTTTTCCTCTTGTCTGTACGGGTTTAGTTGCTTCTGGACTCGATAGAAAATATGTACGGGCGCACCGCCAATCGACTGGAAATGTGGAATCGTGCAGCATCTAGCGCATGATGCATCCCTAACTTTCTGAGCGTGATCGAACCTTGCCGCCTTTTAAAAGTTTTACCGATCGCGTGTTACAAGAATGATTGATTAATCTCCCTCTCGGTGGCAAAAAGACAGTATCAAATTGGCCAGGCTGTATCCATTAGCCAGAGAAGGTCCGCGGCCACGTGGGGGTCAGGACAAAAAAAAGGCCATATATAAAAATGTAACGATCTTCCCCCACAACTTCTGCTTGGAGAGTAATGATTGATTATGTGAATTCGAACCTGCCAATGGCAAGGCCCAGCATACAGCACCATCGAATACTTTTTAATAGTAAATGTTTATCAAAAACAGACTCGCAAGCCCGACAGAGTTACAGTGTACATATATCATTTCCCAGATAATTTGACCATATTTCCTGAACTTGTCGTATATGCGCCACAACTTTTCTCTCGAAACCATGTTGTTGTGACACCCATCGCGGCCCGGCGGGTGGCCGTGGGGCCAAAGTACGCGTTGGTCTACACGTGGTACAGACTCACGGTCGACTGCTCAGGCATGCCATTCTAAATCGTCTAGCAAAAGATAATATATAAACTCAGACTGAGTACTTACAGAACACGATAGCCTGGACAATCGGTCTTCCGATGATTTGCCCCAGAGAATTTGCCTCTCTGAGCAGTGACATTTGGATCCTGCCGAAATACCGGTAGCAGCTGAACGCTCATTGGCTGCAGTCCACCGGAGTTCACACATCGGCCTTTCCCGCCACGTCAGAAACGAAGCTCCTCAGCTGAGGTGATACTCCAGGCGTTTCCGTCATTCGGCATTATATATAAGTTCAGGCCTTGCATACAGTTTGCAATTTAAGTGCTCAAGAAATCTTAGAACATCCTCTGACAGCATACGGCCTGCCGTCGGATCTGGCATCGGTTGAGCAGGCTCCGTCGGCCTAACTCGGACAGCCCCATGCCACGTCTAATCTTTTCTACTCCGTTAGTTTCGCGCCAATTTCTTTAAGCGGCCCCATATGGAGAACAACAACAACATCATATGCCGGAAGTTGTACTCTCCAAGCAGATGTTGGAGAGGCTGGCGGAAATTTCAAAACGAGTCGTAACCTTCCCCACCAACCTGTGGTTGGGAGAGCAGGAAGTTGGTGTTTCTGACCCGGTCTCTGCCATACACACACACACATACACACACACACACACACACACACACACACACACACACACACACACACTCACAAACACACACACACACACACACACACACTCACAAACACTTCAATATAGTTGACTTGGATATACATACAAATCACATACAAAGCTATTCTTCCCGGATAATTACTGCGCGCTATTATAAACGACTGCTCCAAAAGATCCGGACCCGTTGGAATGTTAGCCTCCTTTTCAGGCGTTCCCGGGTCGGTCGGGGTTTTTTGGGGGGGGGGGGTATTTTCTGATCAAACGTAGATCGCACGCAGTAGAAGCTCCGGCCAGCAACCCTACATAGCTCTCTGTTGGCCGGGCGTTTACTGTTGTTATTTTGGGGACATTTAGCGCTGGTATGTTCAAGATGTGGCTGGCGATTTCGCCACCGAAATATCTGCTTGAGAGTAAGATTAACCTTTTTCTCTTTCGGCGTCCTCAATATGAATAGATGTCACCATTTGGCATGTATGTGCAAAGGAGTGTTCACGCCCTCCTCATGCGATGACCCGCAAATGTCACCGCAGGGGTCATGGGGGTAGCCCGTCTGCGATGATCGGCTTTCAGTGATTTTGATGACCATCCATATTTTTGAAGGAGCAAG